TACCAAAAAAAAATGTCTATAAGAAAGTCAAATTAAATTTTTATGAGCTTTTGAAATTCAAATTTTTACAACATTGGATATTCACTCGATTTACCATATAGCGATTTCTTTATTTTGTTGTAATTCAAAAACGAATAACTGTAGATACATGAAAATCTCACTGAATGTTTATATTAGAATTTCCTATACTAAAAATTACAGAAGGACAGTTTATTTTAATTGTCATTTTAAGCTCAAATATTTGGACGAAATTATATAATAAAAAACCTAGAATAACTATTTTAGTTATTTTGTTGTTAAAAATTTATAAAATGTTCAACTTTTATAGCTAAGGATTGAAAATTTAAAACAAGGGTCCACGTAAATAGGTAAATATATAAATTACTTTATTCACAGTAAAAATATCATCAAAATATATACTTAGTAATATACTAATATCATAGGCTGACTGACCGTTTTCGCTCAGAATCGTTTTTCTTATACAATGTTATTATATCATTGAATTCAAATTTAACACCATCCATTTCAGCGACCCACTTGTAACCCACTGTACTAACCGAATTTTTTTCATTATTTTTATTGTTTTTTATTTAGCTAGTTGTATGCATATATCAAGATAATGGAGGTAACTATATGTATTTTTAATATTTTTAACTGATATTGTAACAATATATCATGAGCCTTGTATTAAAGTTTTACACTCTTTGGCCCAACAGATAAAACTTTATTGATATTTATAGAAAAAAAAACTAAAAAAAATTAAAAGCTGTAAATGTCCGTAAACTGCACGGGGTCCACGATCTACCGCATATAGATTGCCTACCTGATAATGTACTGCAGCGAATGAGAATTTTTATTCCGGGCAACGGAAAAGTTAAGATTAATTTTGAAACCATACATCGAATATTAAATAACGAATTGAACATAGTTTGAGTCACATAGAGTTGGTACACTTAATGGGCAAATATGTATTATAATATTATGTAAATAAGTATATAACTAATAATTTACAAAAGGTAGAAGTCAATTATGAATTCATGATAATATTAAAATCATATTATTGTAAATTGTAAGTGGTTTTAAAAAAATTTACTTATAGAGATGTAAATTGTTATATATCAATTTGAAAATCAAAAAGGTGGTGCATGACGCGCATAACAATTATTTGAATAGATCCTATATAGATTATAGATTATACTAATATAGTATAGAATTGTATATAACTTGAGAAGGAATAGGTAGGAGACATAATATTACATTAATATTGTTTACTTAGTTATAGGTGCTCGGAGTATATTTTTGTAACGTATTTATTGTTTGTTGTTACTATATAATAAATATATACTATAATTAACCTCATCGGTGGTCAGTATTATTTTGAGTACAACATCTGAAATATATACGTTAAGCTTCATTGTGACAGAAGATTTTTTAATTTTTTTTTACTTAAAACTATTTTTTACAGCCTCGAAATTTAAAATTACGTTTTGGTAGGTACTTATATGTTTTCATTATTTTTGATAGCTGTAACCCCAACACTATTATTAAGTATATTTGCTTATGTTAAAAAAAAGGTGGTTCAATTTTTTACTTGGTTATCATTTACATTTTTTCGACTTATACATAGTTTCAGTCTTGTTGGTCTGACCGTAAGTGATGTAACTATGTAAGTACAACCCTGTCTGCCCAATTGCAGTCGCTAAGTATTTAACAAATAATTGATATTGTATCCGGGAATCATAAGGAAAAATGATGAATATCATTAAATTATTTATTTTATTTTACCCAATAATGTATTTTAATATTCGTGAGTAACGCTTATTATATTAGTTTTAGGCTTCAGTATGACGTCTATACGCAAGATTAGAAGCCATTTCATGATTGATAACACACCCAGACACCCTATTCACTTTTGTATAATTGTATAATGTATATTATATTATTGTATATGGATGCTAGATGTATAATATTATTTCTTTAATTTTTATTAAAAATAATTATTTCTTAGAGTCTTTTCTGTTTTTATATTTATTTATTGTTATTATATAGGCCACAGGGTATTTCACAAGACTGTACAATAATATTATTCATCGCCTCCCACCATAATATGGCCTTTACTTAAAGGTCTCAAACTTAACTATGTCAATATTACATGATTTATATTTTATATCTATAAGATCATACAATAGCTTTATTTATATTTACTAATGCAGTAAAAATGATAAAATATTGATATTTTTAAAATGTATTAATAAAATAATGTAAATTGATTCATTTTCACTTGAAGTAGGTAAGTCAGTATAACTGACGTTGTATTTATAAACAATATATTATGTACTACATTTTATTATTTAATTTAATGATATATATAAGTATCTGTTTACAATGAAATTTAGGTCTCGAGTGTCGAAAACCGCGCGCGAGTTCGCGACGCCGTCGACCACCACTTGTATTTCCGCGGAGTTGACCTGCAAAGAACGTATAGAGGGCGACTTACCGCCCGGACACAATGTGCTCTTTCACGTACCGCTCCCCCGTTTTGCCGCCGTCTCGTCTGCCATTCCTCGGCCGAGGTAAGGGGACGGGATTCTGCTGGCCGTTATTCCCATCGGTGGCCGCAGCAGCAAAACAGGCGTCCGGCCTGTTTTATGCCTACCCACGCCGTGGACACGTAGCTGCGCCACGTGCGTCCACGACGTGGATGTGCGCCTGCCTGCCGCTCGACCACCGGAACAATAGACACTGTACAGTCCAGACATCCGGTTTTCCCGCTCTTCGCCGACCTTCTTCAGTCGGCCTCGACCGGCCGCATCCCGGTGCAGTCCACCTCTTCGTTTCCGGTCTTCGCATGGTTGCTGAGGTCCAGAAGTGCAGCCCGTCCACGCTGCGGTTCGGACTGTCCGCAAGACTGCACTTCCGAAATCTCCTGGTCTTGGCCGATGACAGCCGCGCTGACCATCGACACGACGTAGTCGCTCAAATCAGCTCCATCGAACTCCTTCTCTCCGTCGTAAATGACTCCGGTTTCGGATTCTGTAGAGTATAGTTGTTCAATTTTTGTCATTAGAGCTGCCACAACGTCCATCACGGAAACGTTAAAATAGTCCCGGAGGATCTCTTCATCGTACTCTCGCTGCATAATGGTGTGGAAAACTGTACTTGCTACTCGGGAATGCAAAATGTTATGAACGCAAAACTAGAAAATCGTCATAGGCTGTCGTCGAAAAATACAAATATTTCCCAGACGACGGCGATGCCGATAGTTGTTATTATTCTGGCCAGCGAGTACGCACACGATATGTTCTGATCGGTTGGCGTTAAGATTTCGTTTATTTTTTCAAATCCATTATTATTGATACCTATATATATTATAGATACCCATATATACGCGTATAAGTAAAATAATATATTATATTATAATATTTTAACGAGTAATCGTGTTTCAGTTTGTATTTGGTGTACTTCAGCCACAGGCGAAAATTGGGGGGGGGGCCAAAAATCTAGGACATACAATTTTAAAATGCTATATTGCAATGGTCTGCTTGCCTTTAATATATTCAGCCCCCCAAGTCAAAAGTTGAAATTGCTCCTGTGCATAATATATTTTAAATTCATTATTTTTTTTTCTATTATGTATCTAATGGAAAAATACATCCATTAACTTATTATCTACTTTAGAAATGTGCCAATGTCGTAGCTATTCAAATGTCTACGTCTGTTGTTGTCTAATGATTTCTTATTTTTTTCAATATTTAGCTTGTATTACTTGCTAAGTAGGTAAGTACCTAGCTAGCAGTCATCATATGGACCATTGTTCTATGCATATGTCTTAAATACTTTATTACCAAATATAAAGAAGATATCAGTTCTAACTTCACTCGTCAAATTATTATAATCATGAGCTATTTATCTTCCAAATTTCAAACCAACCATTTAAAAAATATTGACGTATTCATGATAGCTGTAAACTGATAATATTGTCAAGGAAGACTTGACTTCAAAATTACCCTATGTATTTATCGGTATTATAATATTTCTAACTATACCAGTGACATCTGCCTTAGCTGAGCGATCATTTTCAAAGCTTAAATTTATAAAAAAAATTATTTACGTAACACAAGACTTTCAAGTATACTTTTATACAATAGTGCAACGCACCAAACTAGGTAAGGCTAAAAACGTGGTTATTTCTATAATATTTTTGAATTTTATTTTGTAAATGTGAATTTTTCATCCTTAAAATTTTGGGGAAATCAGAAGTTACCTACCTATCGTACTAGTTTTTATTTTATTGTCAATAAAGTAATTTATTAAAACAAACACCCCTCCCCCCCACGACTGGTTGGAATACCCAAACTTGAGGACTTCAAAACTTGAAAAGGTTATAATAGGTACCGTCAAACCGGGTTACTTGGGACACTTTTGAACTTCGAATGAATACTGATCGAAAAGTTTTCAAAATATATTAATAATGGTAATGAACAAAAATGCTGGTCTTGACTTAGACTATGAGACCCATATGTTTTTTTTTTTGATTCCTCCCCCCTTCCCGTTTTTTTTTAAAAAAATATGCTTGTCCCAAGTTACCTTGATTTTTGGGTAACTTGGGACACCCATATATTTCTATGTAAAATTCAAGTTAACTTTGATATTATTTAACTTGGGACTTAATAATTGTTTTTAAAAAAAATGTGAATGTTGACTTAAATAAGTGTATGTATTAAAAAACTTTTAATACAATAACAAAACCAAAATAACATACTTGTTAATATAAAATCAAATAAAACATATTAAAACACCATCGAACCATCCAGACTTGGAACGATTATACCTAGTTCCTTTAGGCCCACCCTCTGTCCAACTATCATAATAGTTTTCCGCTTTGTATACCACATAGGGTGGTAATAAATACCCGGAGGCTGTTTCAGCAAACATTACGGATACACTAGATTTAGACGAGTCTAAAATTCGTTCTGGATGTTTGCAACCTCTCCTTGTTATTATCTTGGCTTTCCCAGGGTCGTCAGTATAATATTGGTTTCGTCATAATTAATAATTAAATTTGCAGAAACTCCGGCTAACGAGTTTTTTAAGTGTTCAAAATATTTTTTTATAGATTCATGGTTGATTTCCGCTCTTGATCTCTTTATATTTTCGGCTAATCGCTCACTTAATATAGATTTATGTCTATCTAAAAAATGTTTGAACCATTCATATCCGGGTAAATTGTTTGTAAACCGTTTTTCCTTAAAACCATTTTTATTCAGGAATTTTTGTACCAATAACCGGATATCCATAGATGTAAAAGGAAATCCCCATTTACTAGACAAACATATTCCCTTAACTAGATTTTCCTCATCTTTTTCCGACAATGTATTTGGTCTGCCCACTTTCATCGTATTTTTATTATTTACTTTTCTTTGCAGAGTAGACTTTGATATCCTATACTTTTTTTCTGCATCCCGAAAAGTTATTTTTTTTGTCTTTAATTCCATTACGGCTTTTTTTAAAGTTTCTTCCGAATAATTTTTATACGGTCTTCCACCAACTTTTTTTTACATATTTTGCCATTTCGAATCTTAATTATAAATACCTACCTAGAGATAAGACCGAAAAAAGTTTGAATGAGTGATATTAAATAATATTAAAACTAACTTGGGACACTACATCTAACTTGAGACATTGTCCCAAGTAAGCATAAAAAAAATTTTCCCTCTCAAATTTGTGATAACCAACAAATCCCACATAAAAATGATAACTTTGAAATATTGTTATTAATCATGACCTGTTATTACATCCTGTGTTCAAACTCACATTTACATTCAGCAAACAGTATGTCATATGCAAACCATACTTTTACATGCTTTTATATCACAATAAAACCTAAATGAACTTTAATATTTTTTAATAGAGTACTTATCTTGAGAGCACGTCCGGACAGCACATAGAGTATTACTCTATGGGACAGCACGACGGTCGTTGTGAAAGTGATAATAAACAAATGTGTGATTATACGGTAGTGATAACAACATTTCTAGCGCTCAAATCTTATCATTGATAATACTATATAATTTGTATTCAAGTTATCCACATGTCCCAAGTAACCCGGTTTGACGGTATCCGAAAAAAATATTCGAAAATCGTTTGGGAGCTAAACCGCATTTATTCCACAACATAGTACCTATAGGTCTATTATAAGTCTTTACATTTTAACAAATAACTTTTTTTTGTTTTGAGGGTGCAAAATATGTTGTTCCGAGGCCCAACATTTTCAAACACGGAGCTTTGAGTAGGGAGGAGGCTCCACACATGTAGGTATATTGAGGAATTTTAGTCAATACTGAATTCAGGTTTTGACATTTGGTAAAAACCAAATGTTACTTATCAGTTATCATAAGTAATTTATTTTACTATTAGGCATTAGTACTACAATAGGTTAAATTAATTTTTGCCGAAAAAATATAATTTTGTGTATAAAACTATAAAATATAATAATATATTTTAAGAATTTAAAGTAGGTACCCAGGAATAATATTTTTAAATTATAACAAAATAACTAAAATTGTTATTCTTCGTTTAAATACCAAATTTCTTCCAAATTTTGAACTTCAGATGTCTATAAAAAAAATGAGTTTTAGTGTTTATATATTTTTTAGATTTTTTTGGTTACAATATGAACTATGTTCGAGAAACCTCGATTTAAATTTTCAATCCTTAACTATAAAAAGGTGGGCAAGTGGGTGTCGCTCTGCTGTACAGTAGGTTACAAGTGGGTCACTGTATAATGGATGGTATTACATTTGAATTCAATGATATTATATCATTGTATAAGAAAAAAGATTCTGAGCGGAGACGGTATGTCCTTCTAGGTATAAGACATATTATATACTTATCTATCTATGGTATTAAAAAAAATTGACCTAGGTATAATGAATTCCAATTTCCAAATTAATCATATCACAATATCCATTAGGTACTTATAACGCGTTATACACCAACAACAAACCCTGATACTATCATAGATATATAGTAGTATACTTTAGAAGTTTCAAGTACCCACGAATAATATTATACAATCACAACAAAATAATTAAAATAGTTATTCCAGGTTTTTTATTATGTAATTTCGTCCAAATTGGACATTAAAATGTCTGTAAAAAACAACTGTGTTCATATATTTTTTAGATTTTTTGGTTACAGTATGAACTATTTATGAGAACCTTTGTTTTAAATTTGCAATCCTTAGCTATGAAAACTGAACATTTTATAATTTATTAATTACAATGATTGATAATTTTCGGGATTTTGATAAATGTTGTCAAAATTCAATCTTTAAATGCTTATAAAAAAAATTGTGCCTATGTATTTTAAAATTTTTCAATTACTATTGTAATAATATATCAGGAGCCTTGTATTTATGTTTTACACATTTTGGCCCAACAGATAAAACTTTATTGATATTTATAAAAAAAAAAAACTAAAAAAATTGAAAACTGAAAATGTCCTTAAACAGCTCAAAAAAAGTCAAAATATTTTTAAAATTGTACAGTGTATAGTAAATGCTAATATGAAGATTCCGTGAGATTTTCATGTATCTACAGTTATTCGTTTTTGAATTACAACAAAATAAGGAAATCGCTACATGGTAAATCGAGTGAATATCCAATGTTGTAAAAATTTGAATTTCAAAAGCTCATAAAAATTTAATTTGACTTTCTTGTAGACATTTTTTTTTTGGTAAAGGTAGATAATTTTATAAGGAATCTTGTATTACATTTTAAAATCTAAGATTTAAAAAGAACAATTTTTACGAATTCTTAACTCAAAATAATTTGCTAATTTTCGCGATTTTTCCATATTTTGTCAATTTTTGAACTTTAAATGCTTATAAAAAGAAATTGTGACTAAGAATTTTTAATATTTTTCATCTTTTCCTTAATTTTTATGTTGTTTTTCCCGGCGCTTTTGAAAACTACTTTGAAATTTTCACTTTTGACTCCCCCAAAGTACCAACTAGATTCACTTTCCTATCAGAAAAGTTACTGTTGAAGAAAATCCAAGCACTTTTACTGTCCTAAAACGTGATGACAGACACAAAAAAAAAATAAAAAAAAAATACAAATCATTTTAAAATCAATACATTCATCGTTTCACTCAGAATCTAAAAATCAAGTAGTGCTAAAAACGAAGATGTCCTAAAAAAATCATGGTTTATATTAAATTTTGGTTTTAGCGGACTTATTGTAACAATAACATTTTTATAAATCTTATAAGGGGGGTGTGGGGGGCTTAGCCCCCCACGTGTTATTTTACACTTTGGTTTTGTATTACTCTACCCACTGTAACTTTTCAATCCTAGTTACGCCCATGAGAAGAAATACGTAGAAAAAATATTAAAGCTAACACAGCTAACTGTGAAAAATAATCCTGAAAAAGGTATTGGTGTAAATAAAATTATTGTAATATCCATGTGTGTGTTGCTGCTGTGTTGAGCTTTCTACTTGCTGTTTCAACTTTAACATTTAAATACCTATTTTAAAGTACAAAATTTCTCTGTTCTCGTTAACCTATGGGCTCTAGAATACGAGTTAGAATCAGGGTTCGAAGTACTGGACCCAACCCATTAAAACCCACCGGGTTTTCTTAATTAATTATAAACTCATAAATTAATTTTACTTCGACAGTCAAGTGTGACCAACCGTAAAATGAAGATGGGAATATATTATATAATAATACATTATTATATTATTATAATGACACTTGTCAAAACCACGATTAAAGATATACGATTATGTATATCTTGTTCAAAACAATTTAAAATGGTACATTTATGTTTTATAGGTTAGGTTTGTAGGGAACTTCCCTAATAAAAAAGATTCAGGAAACAGCATTCATTTGAACATTTTTAAAACCCATTTAAACCCAACCGGGTTTGGTTTTTTAAAAAAAACCCGTGGGTTTTTTAAACCCTGGTTAGAATATATTTGATATCATTACATTATGTTGCATATATTATAATTAGGGCCCGGAAGTATATTCACTAAAAACTACCTATATATGTATGCACTTATGACTTTATGAGGTTAAATATTGTTTTTTAAATTTATAAATATGAGGAAAAAAAACATTTTTATTTCAATTTCTTTGACTAGTGATAAGAAACATTATTTCATTAATTAATATACATTTTTGAACATTACATTTTACAATCAACGATTTTGATGAATTCTCAAATATAAATGACCGCCTGTTATCTTCCAACATATTTTTTTTTTTATTGGTGTTAAGGCTTCAACACAAGGTTATTAGCCTGCGAAAGGTTCACATTTTATATACAATTAGTTTTTGATAAGAATTACATGATTGTGGGTTAGTAGTTTTACAGCTTTATATAATATTTACAATACAGTTGTTAGTAGTGGGATTTTTTTTTTTAACATTAGATTTTGGAGTCGATACCGTTGAATTTGAAGAAACTATGTATTAAGTGAGAATTGTGTTCTCCGAGTGCTTCCTCCATCGATGAGGGTTGGTTGAGAATGTTTCTTGCGTTGACGCGTTGCCATGCAGAGGGCAATCTAGGGCTATGTGTTTAATTGAGAGCGGTACGTTGCATTGGCTACAGAGAGGGTGTTCTTCGTGTTTTAATGTTTTATGATATGTATGTGGGTGAGGTTGGTATGGCCGATTCTTGTTCTTGTGTTGATGATTTCAGAACGTCTAGAGATATTAGGCTGAAAATGCCATTTGGTGACTTTATTTTTAATTGATTTTAATTTGTTTGACATTGGTATTTCGTCCCAACATATTTTGTACACCGAAAAGCTCCTTTCCACGCACGATTAAAGATATACTGATATATATAAGTATATCTTTAATCGTGGCTCCACGTCAACCGAAGACGGAAGAATCGTTAAAGGCCATAAGAATAACTACCTGTATTACGATAGTCGATAACTTAACGTAGTAGGTAATGAAGTATTGTATTGAGCAAGTTAAACACGTTAAAGTTTAACGGTTAAACAAATAACATTTCACAATATCTAAAATAAGATTTAACCATGAGCTAGTTCCTAAATTCATATAACTTTTTAAAATTGATGATTTTTAATGTACAAATAATGAATGCTGCAATGAGAGTATTATGTAATAATATGGAAATTAAATTTTTAATTTGTACTACAGGAGAATTTGCAAATGGCATGGCTGAGCAATTGGAAGATCGAAAAAACACGAGGAATACCTTTGGAAAAAAGCAGAAGACATGTACCAAAAAGAAATAATTGAAGCTAACAATAAAGCCCCTATGAATAATAATCCAGGAAAATGCGTTGTTGTGAAAATAATGATTGTAATATTTATTTGTGTGTCGTTGCTGCGTGCAGCTTTCTACTATCCGTTTTAAAATACAACATTTCTGTGCTAAACAAACGTAATAAAAATAACAAAATCTTGTGAAAATGAGTCATATTCAAAGTCGTATTATATGGTTTGG